AAGCTCCTAGCTTTCTGGCATATAATAAACACCCAATAGCTCTTTTAAGATATATTACTGTTGGGTCCTCAATAAAACCTTTTCTTGGTTAGTAGTAAAAGACCTAAAACTTGAAACATTTTAGCTTTTACAGGTCAATGCTTGCTAAATGCATTTTCTTATTTGGCATGGGAATTGGAAAACTGCCTTTTCTCCTTTTCTGTGTTTAATTTTTTAATTTTTATTATGTTTTCCTTATTGTGCCTCTGAGTTATAAATCAGAGTGTATCTTTATACACTGGGCTTAAAAGACTCATGGCTTTTGTTTTAATATTGTACTTCTTAAACCCAGCTTTTCTGTGTTTTAATTTAAATTATCTTTGCTTAATTTAAAATGGAACCCTTTAACATATGTAGAGAAGGAAGATAAAGTTAGTCTGCAAGCTTGTAAAATTATAGCAAGTGGAAAGGAGAGGTCAAACCTAGTGAAAACCTCACCTTCCTGGGTATAAGTTTTGGCAAGTAGACCAGGACAGGTTAGTAGAAAAGGCAGTGATACAGATGTTTGCATAGTCTAAGAATAGAGTACCAGTGGTTCTCTTGTTCCTTGAAATGTGTTGCTTTCTACGTTTTTCTGACCTATCTAGACTAGTCAAACACTTGTGGCAGAAAAAGTCTGTGGAGTTATCCCAGTCACCTTCTCCACTCCCTTCTTTTCATTGGAAACAGAACTGAGTTCTTTCCTATTCCTTTTTCCTCCTGTTCTTAGGAGGGAGCTGCTAAGTGGAAAGCAAAAGTGGCCAGTCTGTCAGGGAAGAGATGTGTTCAGAGTGTGATAGTAATGTCCAGTTCACCTCTCTGGAATTAATGAATGAATTAATGAATTTTTGGTATCTGATCACTGAGTCTGTAATAATAACAGATTTCTAATCACAGACATTTAACATAGACTATATCTTATAACAGCAACTGTGTGTATATCCATCAGGTACCTTAAATTACGTATTTTTTTTTAGGAAACATTCTCAATCCCAGCACTTTGGGAGGCCAAGATGGGAGGATTGCTTGAGCCCAGGAGTTTGAGATCAGCTTGGGCAACATATTGAAACCCTCATTCCTACAAAAAATGAAAAAAATTAGCCAGGCATAGTGATGTGTGCCCCAGCTACTTGGGAGGTTAAGGCAGGAGGATGACTTGAGCCCAGGAATTTGAGGTTGGAGTAACCTGTGATGATGCCATTGTACTCTAGCCTGAGACACAGAGCAGGATCCTGTCTCAAAAACCAAACCAAATCAAATCAAACTGTTATTCTCTATGACTTTTTTTTTTTTTTTGCAGGTTTTTGGCTGGGGCTGGGTTTGAACCCGCCACCTCTGGCATATGGGGCCAGTGCCCTACTCCTTTGAGCCACAGGCGCCTCCCTTCTCTATGACTTTTAATGGACCAATGGAATTTAAGGAATATTTCTTTCCCAAATAGAAAAGTGCTTTTTCTTTCATAACTGGGGTTAGTACAGTACCCCACACTTACACATCCAAAGCACACTAAGCTGCTTTGCCAGGAAAATCTTGGGAGCATCTCAGTGTACTAAGAGGATGGCTTTGTGGACACTTATCTTGATAACACAGTTTACAGTGTTTGGATTTGTAGATATTTGTAGTTCTGGATGTGTTGGGAGATGCAAAGGAGACTGAAATACATTAGACCCTCTGTAAGTTGATCACCCAAAGGACTATACCTAACTGGTCAACCTACAGAAATGGTGAACATAAGGAACTAGGCCTGCTGTACTGATACGTAAATGTGGTGCATGTCCAGGCTATGAAAATTACGTCAACTTAAGGAGGTAGTCAGTGTAGGGAGATGGTCAACTATGGAAGTTCTACTGACAAGAGTATTCATTTTGTAGCCAGACATTTTTATTCCATTTACCAGTAACTTGGTCAAATTACTCAATTTCTTTATGCTTCAGTCTCCCTTGTTGTAAATTGGAGATAGTATTAACTATCTCTTGAAGTTCTAAGGACTAAAATTAATGTGTGTGAAAGAGCTCAGAGCTGTTCTTGGCATATAGTGGGCTCTCAGTCAATGTTATCATCGTTCATCTTCATGATCATCATATGGTTGGCTGGTGGGTTGAACTTCAAGGGTCGCTTGTGCTAAAAGTAATAAAATGCAAAGTAATATACAGGTAGTCGAAGGACAGAGATAGCGCTTATGTTAGGATTTCACTCATACAGTCATTTAAGAAACATTTACTGAACACCTGTTTTGGTGAAGACTGTGTTATAGAATAATACTAACAGGGGAGGCATAGATTATAAGAGCTCAAGTGCAGGGTTTTACCTGGTTTCTCCACTTACAGTCTGTCTGTGACTGGCAGTTTACCAAAGCTCTTCACCCTCTCTCTGTCTCCCACTTGGCTGCCTAAGATCAGACAGATATGATTTTTAAACAAATTTCTTATCTTCTAAGCCTGATTTTTCTCATTTCAGAAATTGAGAAACTAATAGTATTTCCTTGTTTTGTTGTGAGGATTAAATGAGATAGTGTATATGAAGTGTTTGGCACATAGTAAGACCTTGCTAAATGAAAGTTTCTGTTATTCTGCCTCCACCGCTCTAGTCCTTGTCCTTAGCTGTTAACCTGTTGGAGACGAGTTATATAGGAATACAAGGCAGTGTCCGTTCAGCTGTGCTGGGCATAATGCAGTGGAGCACAGAGGAGGAGAGCCATTCATTCTGTCTGTAGGACTCTGGGAAAGCTTTTGTGGGGGTAGCTTTTGAATCTTAATAGGATTTCAGTAGGTGGCACAGGGTAGTTAATCACATCCCAGGTAGATTGAAACCTCTGAGCAGAGATTGAAAACTTGTAGGGCATATTTGGAATGGTTTGAGACGTGAAGGTGGAGATATCCAGTGCCTTGTCAGGGAGTCCGGACTCCCTGTGGTCAGGAAATTTAGTGTAGGTCATACAAATGGGCTTGTGGGTCGCACTCTGACCTTTCATAGGTCTATTCTAAATATAAAACTTTCCCTCTAACTTCTTTTTTTGAGACAGAGTTTCACTTTGTCACCCTGGGTAGAGTGCTGTGGTGTCATAGCTCACAGCAACCTCAAACTGGGGGGCTCAAATGATTCTCTTGCGTCAGCCTCCCAAGAAGCTAGGATTATAGGTGCCTACCACAACACCCAGCTGTTTTTTAGAGACAGGGTCTTGCTCTTGCTCAGGCTGGTCTCTAACTTGTGAGCTTAAGCCATCCACCTGCCTTCGCCTCTCAGAGTGCTAGGATTACAGGTGTACACCACGGTGCCCAGCCAATCCTTTTTAATCTTCATTAATTACACACAGGTGCTCACTGTATTTGTTGGAGGGACAGTTCATGATATTGTTTTTAATTTTTAGGTGCTGTTGAATTAGAAAACTTGCCATTAAAGAAAGATGCCTTGAAAGAACTGGAGTTACCATTTGAAGTCAAAGCTGGTATGTAGAACTAAAAGAAAGGGAGGAAGTTTTTAAAATTTATTTTAATTTATTTTTAAATTCATATTAATATGAGGTATACACAATAGGTTACATTGTTTGTGTTTGTAAGTTGTGGTAGTATCCTTTACCTAACTTCTTGGGTACAACTTCCTAAGCTGTGGTACCTTTACCTAACTTCTGGGTGAAGGACACAACTACAACTCTGAAAGGGAGAAAGTTTTGAGTCTTTGGACATGAAACTGAGTTTTTACCTATTTGACCAGGGAGAAGGATAAGAAATGTCGGCTTGGCGCCTGTGGCTCAAGTGGCTAAGGCGCCAGCCATATACACCTAAGGTGGCGGGTTTGAATCCAGCCTAGGCCCGCCAAACAATAATGATAGCTGCAACCAAAAAATAGCTGGGCATTGTGGCGGGTGCCTGTGGTCCCAGCTACTTGGGAGGCTGAGGCAGGAGACTCACTTGAGCCCAGGAGTT